TACCTGTATGGAGTTTTTTGAGATCTACACAGATCATAGGAGTCTTTAGTGCATTATGAAACAGAGGAGCCTTAATTTGAGGCAGCTTCAATGGATTGAGCTTTTAAAGGACTACGACTTCTCTATTATATACCATTCGGGAAAGGCTAATGTAGTAGCGGATGCCTTGAGTTAGAAGGCAATGAGTATGGGTATTTCAGGCTTTGGGCATTCAGTCTTTAGCCAATAGGATGATTCAGTTAGACATTTTATATTATAGGTCGGTGTTCGCCTATGTGGGAGTTTAGTCTTCCTTGTTAGAGTGGAATCATGGTTTCCAGTTTGAGGATGAGACCTTGGTGACCCTCTGAGATTAGCTGTTGGGAGGTAGTTCCATAAGGCTGCCTTAGATTTATGTGGGGTGTTAAGGTTTGTTGGTTATCTAGGCTTCGAGAGTTGGGGATTTGATTCAGTTGATTTTTTGTAAGGCTTATGATTCCAGATATTCTATCCATCCAGGCAGCATGTAGATGTATCATGATTTGAGGCAGCACTACTTGTGGAGCGATATGAGGAGAGATATTACAGACTATGTGTCCCATTGCTTGTGTTGCTAGCAGGTGAAGGCCAAGCATTTGAGGCCTTGTAGTCAGTTTCAGGGATTGACCATTCTGGAGTCGAAATGGGATCGTAACACCATGCACATTGTTGTGTGCTTTTCTCAAACATCTAGAGGTGTTGACAATATTTGGGTCATCGTTGATTGATTGACCAAGTCAGCACACTTCATTCCCATGTAGTATTCTTTCAGCGTCGAGAGATTGGCTCATATCTATATTTGAAGGGTAGTTCATCTTCATGGTGTTCTTGTATCAATCATTTTGGACCATTCTTTTGAGTTCACTTCTAGATTTTGGAGGACCTTTCAAGAGGATGTGGGTACTCATTTCAAACTTAGCACAGTTTTTCACCCGCAGAATAATAGGCCATTAGAACGTATGATTAAGGTTCTTGAGGATATGTTGTGGGCTTGTGTTTTGGAGTTTTGAGGTCAGTGAGACCAGTTTTTGCCTTTAGAAGAGTTTGCTTACAATAATAGCTACCACTCTAGCATTCAGATGGTCACATTTGAGGCCTTATATGGTAGGCATTTTCACTCTCTGGTTGGTTTGTTTGAGTCTTCTGAGCCTAGGCCATGTGGTACTGATATGCTTTAGGAGGCCTTAGATTATGTGCGGGTGATTCAGGATAGGTTCAAGACAACTCAAAGTACGCACTAGAGTTATGTTGATCGTAAGTGTCGACCATTGAAGTTAGGAGTTGGTGACCGCATATTCCTTCATGTATCAACCATGAAGGGTATGATGAGATATGGGAGGAGGGCCAATATTAGCCCTAGGTATAATGGGCCTTTTGAGATTCTTCAAACTATTGGTGATGTCACTTATGAGTTGGCTTTACCTCCTATATTTTCAATTATTCACTGGTTTTCCATGTCTCTGTATTGTGCATGTGTGTTCCTGATGAGTCTTATATGCTCTAGTATGACTCTGTTGTTGGATGACTGTTGACCTTTATGGAGGACCATGTAGCTATTCTAACCAGAGATATGTGGTGGTTGCATTCAAGAGCCATTCATGTGGTTAAGGTCCATCGGAGGCATAATCTAGACGAGAAGGCTAACTGAGAGATCAAGCATGAGATGCGAGAGCATGTTCCTCAATTATTTCAACCTTTAGGTACTTCTTGACTCTTACTTTCACGAACAAAAGTTCTTTTTTAGTAGTTAATGTTGTAATTACCCTCCAGGTCATTATAGTGAAAATGCCTTTCTTTTTATTGTTTAGAGCGTTCTTATTGAAACCCCAAGTCATTTATAACTTGCAGGATCTGATAGTTTCATCATCTAGTCGTTCAATTGGATTCAGTGCACGTTTTTGTGTTTTGGAGATTTTGAAACTTGAACGGTTGACTTTGGTCAAAAGTTCAGGGAGACGGCCTTAGATTGTAATTCTGACAGTTCTATTACTTCTTAACCATTGAGAATGGTCTACAACAACCTTTCATGCGGATCCCAAGGCTTCCGAGCTGATTCTGAGCCCCTTCGTGGAATTTAACTTAAATTTAGCTTGGGAGTGGGATCCACTTTTTATCAAGACGACCTCAGTTAAAAAATTTGACTGCTCCATTGACTTCAGGATGTCAAATTTGGTGGGGCAGCATACTCCATTTGTATGCATGGGGTTCTAAATGAATCCCGAGCACCCCGTTAAGATTTTTGGACTCTTGGTGTTCTAGATAATGCACCACATACAGGTGCTAATGAACCTCTTCAACGCTTCGCGATTGTGAAAGGATAGTGCAACTGGCCATTGCGGTCGCGTGTTGACCCTCATTGACCATCTTTAGTCACTTAAATGATGGGTCGTGGCCACGACCCTCTCCCCGCAATCAGGATGTATTGTGTGACTGGTCTTTCTAGATAGAGACCACTCGTGATTTCAGCAAGGTTCCTATTTTGTAAATGTGATTGTGAGTGTCATAGAGCTCAGTTTCTAGTGATTTAAAGCTTTGTTTGATCAAGGAATATAGGGCTACTCGTTAGAGTATTCGGGGAGTGTCGAAGATCAACTGTTTGAGGAAAATTCCACCCTTAAGGAGCTGCCCTCTCTTCCTTTAAGCTTTAATGGTGATTTTTTGTTGCATGTCTTATTTGTGGGCTGTTCGGAGCCCCTAAAATGTGTCCCATTTTGGGATACAAGTTCAGAGAGCTTAAATGGACCTATTGATGGAGTCAAATCTAGAATTTCTAGAGTGGGTCCCATATTTCTTGTTTTAACTAAGATTTTGGTTAGTCTCCAATAATTGTGTTTTTTATGTCTAAATGGCAGTCTAACGTTGTGATCCTATTTTTGATAGTGTGGCAGGGTAAAGAGGCCATGCGGAAGGGAAAAGCTCATGAATTATGATTTGAAGCTCACGCGGTTTGCTTTGAGGTAGGCTACGACTTGTTGTTCCTCAAACTGAACTTGACTATGTAAATGTTTGTTGATTTGTATGAATTTGGGGTGGGTATCTAGTTGATCATGCTGAGCTTTCTAGAAACCTTATTTTAGGCTTTTTATTGGGTTTTTAGGATTATTAGCATGCTAATTTTATCGCCCAAAATCATCCTTACCTTGTGGTGTGTTTTGGTTGTTGTTTATTGTTGATATTGAGCATGTTGGCCTTAGTGTAGGTGTAGACTAGTGATTTTCATAGACTTGCACAAATTGGAGTCGATAGACCTTAGATTCTCTCTGACGTCGTTTTCTATGTGACAACGCAGCTCGGATTTCCCTTTTCTTCTATGGTTATCCTTGTGATTGACTCAGCGAGTACACGGGCATACCCTTAAGGTCAATTTCAAGTCCTAACCAGGTAATCATATTGGGTCTTTGGTTGCCTTTACCATGGTTAAAGTCCATGGAAGGTTGTGGCAGTTCTGGAAGTCACTTCAGGTTCTCTTATTAGTCCTTAGCTCTTTTGTGTACCTATTGGGCTTATGAGGGTTTGTTCAGATTTTACTTAAACGTGCATACGAGTGTACCTTTTTGGCTTATTGGGGTCTAGTTAGGTTTAGTTAGGAGTTACTTAATTCATTTGAGTTCTTAGTACACTCATGTACATTTGTTTTAGAATTCTGCTCTTTTACCTATGTTGTTTTAGATTGTCGCATTTCATATTGTCTTTACTTTTCTTACTCATTCGTCCTATGATGCCTATTGAGTACCTTTTTTTTATGGTACTTATACGACACTCTGCATATGTTTCATGATACAGGTCTAAAAATGTTATCAGCGTTGAGATCGAGCCTACAGTTGTCGCATTCAGAGGCTAGGTTGAGCACATGGCGTTCTGGACTTTACATGTCTCAGTCTGTATTTTGATCACTACACTTTTGTATTTTGAGACAAGTCTTTATATTTTGGATCCACTTTTGGGACTTTTATTCTCTTATTAGCATCTTTGTACTTGTGAATTATAGGTTCTGGGAGGTATTCTTATTTGTGTATATATTATATTTTTGTTTGCTTTACCTTTCTCTCTTGTTATTGCATTTAAATTGTTGCTTTTGTGTTGTTTCTACCCTAATACTCATTACTTGTCGTTCCTGATTACAGGTTGGCTTACCTACTTGTGAGTTATAGTGGATGTCATCATGACCTAAGAAATTGGATTGTCACAGAAAACCATCACATAATGAAATTTTGTAAAGAGTGTATATTCTACCCATAAAACTATAAAACAATATACTTTTCATTAGGGGTGTACATGACCGGGCTAGGTCGGATAATTCAATATTAAACAAAATTACAATTGTTGGATTTAAAATCTATAAATCAAATTAATAAAACTCAGATTTTTCAACCTTGGATTTTTTTAGATTTTTGGATTTGTTTATGCAAAAGGGCCAAAAATACCTCTGAACTATTTGAAAAGGCTTAAATATACCCCTCATCCATCTATTGGGCTAAAAACACCCCTCAATCCACCTTTTTGGTCCACTATTACCCTTAAAACTAACAAGCTTTTGTTTTTGAATTATTATTTCTATTAATTATTATGTGGCATCTTTCTATTGGATATATTTTAATATCAACCCATCAGATTTTTATCCTACCCACATCCCTTAACCCAAACCCAATTAAAAGTTCCATCAAAAATAAAGATTGGATCGATCTCTTCTCTTCCCCCTTGAACCTAATAACCTATTTTTCTTCTTCCATCTTTCGTATTAAGCAATTTTAAGATCAATTTCACCCTAAAGGTTCAGATTTTTAGTGCAATACTTCATTAAAGTTGAAGGATTCAAGTTGCAACATTGATTTTTGAAGTTTTAATGTAGTTTTTTGGTAGAATTTAGGTGTTGTTTTGCTGCTATTTTGATCGAGTTTTGGTGTAGCTTTGTAGCCATTTTAGTTCTAATTTCATTGACTTGCTATTCTTCAATACTCTTACAAGTTTTATAGTTTGGGTGAATGGGTCTTGGAGACACAATAAAAGCAGAAAATAAAGCATCAAAGCAGAATTGTGCGCGTGCAATGATATTCCTGCGTCTTCATCTTGACGAGATTCTAAAAATCGAATATCTCACAGTTAAGGATCCACTTGTTTTGTGGAATAGCCTAAAAGAAAGATATGACCAGTTGAAGATGGTCATACATCCAAAGGCACGATATGATTGGATGCATTTAAGGCTACAAGACTTTAAGTGTATATATGAGTATAATTCTGTCATGTTCAGAATCACTTCTCAGTTGAAATTATGTGGAGAAACGGTTAGTGAGATTGATATAATGGAAAAGACGTTCTCCACTTTTAATGCCTCGAATGTGCTCCTGCAGCAACAATATCGAGAGAATGGTTTCAAAAAGTATTATGAACTAATTTCTCATCTTCTTGTGGCTGAGCAAAATAATGATTTATTAATGAAAATTCATGAGAATCGTCCTACTGGATCTGAACCACTTCCTGAAATGAATGAGGCGTACGCCCACCATGCTAGACGTGGAAAAGGTCGCGGCCCTACTTATGGACGTGGACGTGGTCGTGATTATTGTCAAGAACGAAATTCTTTTCCTGGTGTTAATCATTCATCAAATAAAAATCATCATCAAAAGGAAAAAAGAAAGGATGAGAAGCATGAAACAACTAGGGCAGGTTGTTTTCGATGAGGTGGAAGAGGACATTATGCACGTGATTGTCGTACTTCCAAACACTTGGTTGAGCTTTATCAAGAATCGCTAAAGAAGAAAGAGAAAAATCTTGAAGCAAATTTTGTCTCTGAAAATCAAGTTGACATCGCGCACTTGGATGTAGCAGATTTATTCGCACATCCTGAAGGAAAGATAGATCACTTAATTGGTGATGGTTCCATGGCCATGGAAGAGTGAATATTTTTTTATGGTACTAGTTATTAATAAATTCCATGTAATGATAGTTGTTTACATGAGTATTAGTATTTTAAATTAGTTTAGTCGTATTCTTGTAGTTCATTAATTTGTTCCATCTTAATAAGATAATATATATTTTCATTTATTTATTTATATGATTTTGTCAATGTGTATATAATTCTAGCTAGTAATGAATGAATTGTGAGTTGAAATTAACAAGATTAAACAAATCGTTCTTGACCCAATAGTTGAGTGTTATTGCTATGGATACAAAATGGTTAGTGACTAACAAAGGTTATAACTATAATAATGTTGAATCCTATTATGTGTTGGAAGATTTTAATGTGATAGTGTTAGTCAAATACTAAACTTTATCATCTGTTTGTGTTATATTAGGTCTTTAACTTGATCTAATGCTAAAAACATATTGTTTGTTATTCACTAGGATTAAATAATGATTTTTATTTCATTTTTCCTAGTAGCTCGTGATTAACTTAAAGGAAGCAATAAATTAAGGCTCAACTACTAATATTTAATTATTGGTTTATTACATTAATAATTATTAAATATATTGTAGCCTTTTGACAACACTAATATTTAATATATGTTTATTTTGTGTATGTCATTTCATGTGAAGATATGAATAATTCTAAAAACATATTATCCAATTATGAAGACATTTGCTTTATTGATTTTGGTACAACACATACGATATTCAAAAATGAGAAATATTTTTCTCATTTAAGTATGGCTAAAATAAATGTTACTACAATTTTTGGTAGTACTAATATGATTGAGGGCTTTGGAAGAGCCATTGTAATTTTGCCAATGGAAACTAAACTCATCATAAATAATGCTATGTTTTCTCCCAAGTCTCGGAGAAAGTTGTTGAGTTTTAAAGATATTTTGTGAAAATAGTTAACATATCCAATCAATGGATGAAATAAATCTTGAATATCTTGGTATCACCAAGAATGTCTCTGGGCATACATGTGTTATAGAAAAACTTCCTGCTTTATCTTCTGCCTTGTATTGGACAAGAATTAGTGCAATTGAGGCACATTCTATAGTAAATAAGAAATTTACTGATTCCAATACTTTTGTACTTTGGCATGATCGTCTGGGACATCTTGGGTCTATAATGATGAGACGAATTATAGAAAATTCAAATGGATATCCATTAAAGGACCTAAAAATTCTTTTAAATGGTGAATTTGCTTGTAATACTTGTTATCAAGGCAAGTTAATTGTGAGACCATCAGCAACAAAAGTTGAGATTGAGTCCCCTGCCTTCTTGGAACGTATACATGGGGATATTTATGGACCTATTCACCCACCTAGTGGGTCATTTAGATACTTTATGGTCCTAATAGATTCTTCTTCTAGATGGTCTCATGTGTGCCTATTGTCATCTCGTAACTTGACATTTGCAAAATTATTGGAACAAATAATAAGATTAAGGGCACAGTTTTCTAATAATCAGATTAAGTCTATTCGTCTTGATAATGCTGTAGAGTTTTCATCCCAATCATTTAATGATTATTGTCTATCAATTGGGTTAAGAGTTGAACACCATGTTGCTCATGTTCATACTTAGAATGGCATCGTTGAGTCATTAATTAAACGTCTGCATTTAATAGCAAGACCATTGCTTATGAAAACCAAGTTGCCCGCTTCTGTGTGGGGTCATGCAATTTTGCATGCTGCAACACTTATTCATCTCAGACCGACAAATTGTCATAAGTTTTCTCCATTGCAATTGGTTATGGGTCAAGAACCTAATATATCCCATCTAAGAATTTTTGGATGTGTTGTACATGTGCATGTGCCACCACCAAACCGCACTAAGATGGGCCCTCAAAGAAGGTTAGGAATATATGTTGGGTTTGAATTGCCCTCCATTAGTTGTTATCTTGAACCATTAACTGGAGACATGTTTACTACTCGATTTGCAGATTGTCGGTTTGATGATACAGTTTTACCAAAATTAGGGGGAGAAAATAGTGAAATAAAAAGAGAAATTTTGTGGAAAAATTTATCATTGTCTCATCTTGATCCATATTCTTCTATTTGTGAGCAAGAAGTATAAAAAATTATTCATCTGCAGAAAATCGCAAATCGAATGCCAGACGCATTTACAAATTTGAAAAGGATTACTAAATCACATATTCATGCAAAGAATGTCCCAATTCGAATTGATGTCCCTATAGGACCATCCACTAGTGTCATAGATAATGAGTCAAAAGCACGCTTAAAGCGTGGTAGACCATAGGGTTCGAAGGATCAAAATTCTAGAAAAAGAAAACTTAGATGACAGGATGACACTATGAGAGAATCTCATATGGAAGTTCAAAATTTGAATAATTCTGATATCTATGAAGGAATCAGTGAGCTTGAAACTCAAGAAAATAATGAACTATTCATAAATTTAAGAGATGTTGAAACTAATCTGAATCGATCAAAAATAGTGATTGATTATGTCTATGCATATAATGTTGCAACAAAAATCATGCAAGATAGTGAGGATCTTGAACCTCAATCTGTTATAGAATGTCAACAAATAGATGATTGGCCAAAATGGCAAGAAGCAATTCAATCAGAGTTGAATTCACTTGCCAAGCGTGAAGTTTTTGGACCAATAGTTCAAACACCTAATGGTATTAAATTTGTTGGCTATAAATCAATTTTTGTGCGAAAAAGAAATGAGAAAAATGAAATACAAAGGTATAAAGCATGCCTTGTGGCACAAGGATTTTCACAAAGGCCTGGTGTCGATTACGAAGAGACATACTCACCCGTTATGGATGCAATAACATTGTGTTATCTCATTAGTTTCACAGTCCTTGAGAGACTTGAAATGCATTTGATGGATGTTGTTACAGCCTATCTTTATGGATCACTTGATAATGAGATATACATGAAAATTCCTGAAGGATTTACGATGCCTAAATCATGTAATTCAAAATATTGGGAAATGTATTCAATTAAATTGCAAAGATCATTGTTTGGTTTGAAGCAATCTAGACGCATGTGGTATAACCGTCTTAGTGAGTATTTATTTAAGGAAGGTTATACAAATGATGCAATTTGTCAATGCGTCTTTATAAAGAAAACAACATCGGAATTTGTTGTACTTGCTATTTATGTTGATGACATAAATCTTATTGGAACTCCAATAAAGCTTCAAAAGGCAATTGATTATTTAAATAATGAATTTGAGATGAAAGATCTTGGAAGGACAAAGTTATGTCTTGGTTTGGAAATTGAGCATTTGACAAATGGTATTTTTGTTCATCAATTTGCCTACATAGAAAAAGTGTTGAAAAGATTTTAATTGTATGGATGAAGGGCATCCATTATGTACTCTGATGGTTGTTTGTTCACTTGATGTGAATAAGGATCCATTCCGACCTCCAGAAAAGTAGGAGGAAATCCTTGGTTCTGAAGTACCATATCTTAGTGAATTGGTGGACTAATGTATCTTGCTAATACTACAAGGCTTGATATAGCTTTTGTTGTTAATTTGTTAGCAAGGTATAGTTCTGCTCCTACTAGGAGACATTGGAATGGGATCAAACACATATTGCGTTATCTTAAAGGGACAATTGATATGGGCTTATTTTATTCTAACGATTGTAGTCCCAATCTTGTTGGTTATGCTGATGCAGGATATTTATCTGATCCACACAAAGTTCGATCTCAAACAGGCTATGTGTTTATATGTGGGGGGATTGCCATATCTTAGAGATCTACAAAGAAGTCCATCATAGACACTTCATCAAATCATGATGATATAATAGCTATTCATGAAACAAGTAGAGAATGTGTGTGGTTAAGGTCTATGATACATTTCATTAGAGAAAAATGTCGTTTGGAGTGTGATAAATACCTACCACTTTATATGAAGATAATGCAGCATGCATAGCACAACTTAAGGGAGGATTCATAAAAGGAGATAGAACAAAGTACATTTCACCAAAGTTTTTCTATACACATGAACTCCAAAAGAATGGTGATATAAATGTGCAATAGATTCGTTCAAGTGAAAATGTGGCTAACCTATTCATCAAGTCTCTACCAACTGCAACTTTCAAGAAGATGGTGCACAAGATTGAAATACGAAGATTCAAGTCATTGGATTGATGTTCTCATTAGGGGGAGTTCATACGCGTTGTACTCTTTTTCCCTTACGAGGTTTTGTCCCACTGGGTTTTCCTAGTAAGGTTTATAATGAGGCATCCTAGAGGCGTATTAATAGATATGTGTACTCTTTTCCTTCACTAGAGTTTTTCTTTTTTTTAAAAGTTTTTTTAGTAAGGTTCTTAACGAGGCACATCGTTTATAAATTAGACATTCAGGGGGAGTGTTATAAATATATATTGAATGTCTATCTGTTAGAGAATATTTAGGAACCCTAACTTTGAGACCAAGTCAATTTTCCCCTATAAATAGAGGGGACCTCTTCATTGTAAAATCATCCCTCAAGAAAAATAATAAGTCTTCTCTTCTCTCTACTTTCTTCTTCTTATTCTATAGTTTCATAACAAGACGGTTAGTTTTAAGGGTAATAGTGAATCAAAAAGGTGGATTGAGGGGTATTTTTAGCTCAATTGATGGATGAGGGGTATATTTAAACCTTTTCAGATAGTTCAGGGGTATTTTTGGCCCTTTTCCAAAAAAAAAATTATAAAGTATTCATATAAATATAAAATTAACTTGTAATTTAAATATATCCTTATTCCTACCAAGATACAACTATATAAGGTACTTTTTAAGAATAAACTAAATAATATGATATGAGTAATGAAACAAAAAAAATTAATAGAAATATAAATGAAATCACATAAAACAAATATTACAAATTAATAAGTCACAAAAATAATCATAATTTAGAAGTATTAAATTATGCAAACAAAAGACGAATAAGTAGTACTTTCCAGAAAAAACGAAAAAAACAAAAAATTGTGGCTACAGATTTATGGAATTACATGACTAAACAT